ACAACTATTTTTACATTAGCTTGAGTGTTTATGTATAATCTACAATTCATTCTTCAAGAGTTTACTTCATATTTCAAAAAAAAAGTATTGATACCCTAACTTCTCTTAGTTGCAACTTACCGCAAGCTTCGTTCTGCCCACACAGCACCATCAAGTGACTGATAATGGAAGTTCTCTTAGCTGCTTCGAAAACTCGAAGGTTGAGCACATTTTACGCCTCTAGACCATACAAGCAAGTTTTTGCTAATCTTGAAATTTAACAATTACCAACAGGTACTTAAAATTTGAACTAGGTAATTATTTCCGTTGATAAGGTTTACATATTCCTACAGATTTTAGAACCCTTTTGTCGCCTCCCTACTTCAGTCCCCCTTCCTTTTCTTCTTCTTCTTCTACCACTATCAATAGGTTGTTACTTTTGTCATTTTTTTCATGTTCGTGCCAAGTTTTTTCCCATTAGAAACTTCAGGAGATGTCGAGTAAAAGGAGAAGAGGTATGCAAATGTGTGGATAGGAGAGAGGAAAACCCCAATAGCGCCAATCCGACGAGCGCACCACAACAATAAATCATAAGAACGGCTTTATCATACTAATAACAAATCACCGGGAAAGGTCAACAAGAATCATGCAATATGATTAAATCAGAAGTCTGTTTTGGGACGAGTCTCGATCCATTTCTTCACATTTGGGATTTTATGGATTTTCTCCATATGGGCTTTCACCTAAAAAAAATCATGCATAAATCGCTATGCTGTTTTTAGAATTGTCTCCATCTGCACAATTCGCAGCATCAACATACCTCCGGATATCCTTCGAGGAATTCTGGAACAAGGTGAAGCATTAAAGAGGAATGCTCGGCAATCAATAGATCCACCCACGTTACCGAATCGCCAACAAGAAATCCTTAAATTTCGTTGTTTGATTTGAAGGGAAAATGTTGTGAGCAAAATGTATAAGGAATTACTAACCAGAACTATTCTTTTTGAGGAATTTGGTAAGAATTGCAAGGAATTTTTCACGTGCTGGTAGAAGGACATCCTTTTTAAGTTGTTCCTGGAAATTTGAGTTCTAGAAAACAAACAGCGAAAATCCTGCTCG